AGTTTTTGAGCCTTGAAATCCAAAATCAAAGTTGTTGGCAAGGTTGGTTCCTTTTGGGGATTCTGAGGAAAAATCTGTTCCATGTCCTTCTCCTGGCTTCTCCTAACAGCTAGCAATTTTTCACATTCCTTGGCTTGTAGATGCATTGCTCCAATCTCTGCCTCCATCTTCATAGTGGTTTCTCCCTTTGGGACTCTGTGTCTCGTCTCTTATATGGATGCAGGTCATATTGGATTAGGGCTCACCCCAAGGACCTCATCCTAACTTGATTATATCTGCAAATACCTTATTTCCATATGAGATCGTACTCATAGATACCAGGGGTTAGGACTTCAGCATAGTTCAACCCATTGTACTCTTAACTCTATTTTTTCTAATGTATTTGTAATTTTATACATAAGATTTATCAAATATATTTAAAATGTGAATTCAAGGTCTAAATTACCCCCCCACCAAAGAAAGATTCCATTCCAAAACTACTTATTCAATAATTCCTTCCCAGTTGTTCTCCATTTTGGTTATATATTTATGTTTGTACTGCCTTATGTTTTAGGGCCATCTTTTCTAGTTCTGTGGCTTACAGAGTACTACACTGTAAATTGTGTTACATAGACTGTCTTTGACTTTATGGTGGAATTATAACTTTGTTTTTTTGAAGGCAGCTCTATTCTTTTTTCCTTTTGTAAAACATATTTTCTTACTGTAAGAAAAAATTAGAGGACACAAAGGGAAAAATAAAGATTATTTATAAGCCTACCAAACAGGATGACTGCTTTCATTACAGCATATCCATCTAGGCTTTATTGAGTGTGATCATGACGTGCATGCTGTGCCATGACCTGCTTTTATCATGCCACTGTTTCAGTAAGTATAGATGTTTATGTATCATCTTTTTAATGGTGTCCCAGTAATCTCTTCTGTAGTTGACTATCACTTTGCTAAATAACTACTGACAAACATTTTGGTGCCTGTTTAAACTTTGCAGTTTATGAAAGTTCCCTTCTAAATGCAACTTCAGTACTTCTCTCATTTGAAATTTAAAAACATTAAATTTCAGTGCTGAAATAACTGATGAATATAGTCCCCCTGTAAAATATTTCCAATAACTCCAGTTCCCTCATTGTAATCACTGTTACCAATTTGTTTTTATCCTTCCAGACCTTTTT